CCCTCCCACCTACGCACTGGTACACAATGGTTCCATCTGTACCTCGTTCAATAAACTCCACCACCAGCCTCTTCCTGGAACCAAATGGACTGGAGAGGCCAGTCCAGTACTGGAGTATATGCAATGGTAGCTGTGATGGTAGCTACCATTGTAGCTGCGATGGTATTTGTTATGGTACAGTAGCTGCGATGGTATTTGTTATGGTACAGTAGCTGCGATGGTATTTGTTATGGTACAGTAGCTGCGATGGTATTTGTTATGGTACAGTAGCTGTGATGGTAGTTACGATGGTAGTCACGATGGTAGCTTTACTGACAGCTGATTGGCTGGTTTGAACTTTTCTGGTTAAATACTCGGGTCTGAAGCCGGGACAGAGACCAGGAAAACTAGCTCCAGAGTGACCAGGAGCCTGAAGAATTCAACTCTCTGCTCTTTCTCTCTGTCCTCTCTCTCTCTCTCTGGTCTCTCTCTCTCTGCTCTCTCTCTTTCTGGTCTCTCTCTCTCTCTCTCTGGTCTCTCTCTCTCTGGTCTCTCTCTCTCCCTGGTCTCTTTCTCTCTCTGGTCTCTCCCTGGTCTCTCTCTCTCCCTGACCTCTCTCTCTGTCTCTCTGGTCTCTCTCTCTCCCTGGTCTTTCTCTCTCTCTGGTCTCTCTCTCTCTCTGGTCTCTCTCTCTCCCTGGTCTCTCTCTCTCTCTGGTCTCTTGCTCTCTCTCTGGTCTCTCCCTGGTCTCTTTCTCTCTCTGGTCTCTCTCTCTCTCTGGTCTCTCCCTGGTCTCTCTCTCTCCCTGGTCTCTCTCTCTCTCTGGTCTCTTGCTCTCTCTCTGGTCTCTCTCTCTCTCTCTGGTCTCTCCCTGGTCTCTCTTTCTCCCTGACCTCTCTCTCTCTCTCTCTGGTCTCTCTCTGGTCTCTCGCTCTCTCTCTGGTCTCTCCCTGGTCTCTCTCTCTGTCTCTCTCTGGTCTCTCTCCCTCTGTCTCTGCTCTCTCTCTCTCTGGTCTCTCTCTCTCTCTGGTCTCTCTTTCTCTGGTCTCTCTCTCTCTCTGGTCTCTCTCTCCCTGGTCTCTCTCTCTGGTCTCTCCCTGGTCTCTCTCTCTGTCTCTCTCTGGTCTCTCTCTCTCTCTGGTCTCTCTCCCTCTCTCTCTGGTCTCTCTCTCTCTCTGGTCTCTCTCTCTCCCTGGTCTCTCTCTCTCTCTGGTCTCTCGCTCTCTCTCTGGTCTCTCCCTGGTCTCTCTCTCTGTCTCTCTCTGGTCTCTCTCTCTCTCTGGTCTCTCTCCCTCTGTCTCTGGTCTCTCTCTCTCTGGTCTCTCTCTCTCTCTGGTCTCTCTCTCTCTGGTCTCTCTCTCTCTCTGGTCTCTCTCTCTCTGATCCCACAGTCTGTAGTAACACCGCTCCTGCCGTGCTCTGAGGGTATAGCTGAAATATTCCCTATGTTCCCGCATTTCCCATCAGCCCCGGCTGCTGTCACTCACACGGAGCTTCCAGGTCGGCGCCGTCAGCTCCACTCCACGAACGACGACAGCTCGACGGGAGCAGGCGACAGACGCACACGCTCCACGGATTAGCGTCTGATAGTTTTACATTCAGACGTGGAGGAGAGTTTATCTGTATAGCACAGTTTATACACACAGGACTCACAGACAGAAACATAACCATCAACGATCACAGTGCGTTCCAAAATGATGGTACTTCCTGGTTCTAGTCTGGACTCCTGAGCTGCAGAGTTTTGAATGAACTGAAGAGAGACTAGAGAGAAGCCAGAGAGAGACCAGAGAGGTACCAGAGAGAGACCAGAGAGAGACCAGAGAGAGACCAGAGAGAGACCAGAGAGAGACCAGAGAGAGACCAGAGAGAGACCAGAGAGAGACCAGAGAGAGACCAGAAAGAGACCAGAGAGAGACCAGAGAGGTACCAGAGAGAGACCAGAGAGAGACCAGAGAGAGACCAGAGAGAGACCAGAGAGAGACCAGAGAGAGACCAGAGAGAGACCAGAGAGAGACCAGAGAGAGACCAGAGAGAGACCAGAAAGAGACCAGAGAGACCAGAGAGAGACCAGAGAGAGAGCAGAGAGAGATCAGATAGAGGCCAGAGAAAGACCAGAGAGAGAGACCAGAGAGAGACCAGAGAGAGAGCAGATCGAGACCAGGGAGAGAGCCCAGAGAGAGAGACCAGAGAGAGACCAGAGAGAGACCAGAGAGACACCAGAGAGAGACCAGAGAGAGACCAGAGAGAGAGCAGATCGAGACCAGAGAGAGACCAGAGAGAGACCAGAGAAAGACCAGAGAGAGAGACAAGAATTCACTTGTATTGATGACAGGATCTGGTCTCTGTTTTTGAGGTGACACACTTCTTCCATCTTTGCATCTTCCCCATAACTCATCCACAAAGGCGAGAGCAAGTCCCCTTCTCCCCCTCCTCTCCCCCTCCTCTCCCCCTCCTCTCCCCCTCCTCTCCCCCCGGTCTCCCCCGGTCTCCCCCTCTCTCTGCAGCATCAATGGCCGCCTCTCGCTGAGCACCGATGAACACAGATTGTGGAGTCTGAACCCGGATGTGGATCTGTAAAGACCTCGCTCCGGTCTCGCTCCGGTCTCGCTCCGGTCTCCAAAGGCTCTTGTGATGTCACTTCACAGACTGCGGCTTCTGACTGGATTTGAAAGAGAAAGATGCAAGAGCGAGAGAGCGAGAGAGCGAGAGAGCGCTGCTGGTGCCCGAGCGAGACTCCAAGGAACCAGATGAACATTTATGGAAACAAATCAGTCGTTTATTCAGAGTGACACGGAGAGAGAGATTTCAAAGAGGAGAGCCAAGTCTGCAGACGCCTGAGAGCAACGGGGGAGAGCGGGGGGAAGGTGGGGGAGCGGAATTCTCTGTTAATTTGAGTTTGCTTTTAAAAAATTTCAATGGGCCTCTCTCTGGTCTCTCTCTGGTCTCTCTCTGGCCTCTCTCTCTCTCTCTCCGGTCTCTCTCTCTCTGGCGTCTCCCTCTCTCTGGTCTCTCTCTGGCGTCTCCCTCCCTCTCTCTCTCTCTCTCTCTGGTCTCTCTCCCTCTGGTTTCTCTCTCTCTGGTCTCTCTCTGCGGCGCCTCTCTCTCTCTCTCTGGCGTCTCCCTCCCTCTCTCTCCGGTCTCTCTCTCTCTCTCTCTCTGCGGCGCCTCTCTCTCTCTCTCTGGCGTCTCCCTCCCTCTCTCTCCGGTCTCTCTCTCTCTCTCTCTCTGGCGTCTCCCTCTCTCTCTCTCTCCGGTCTCTCTCTCTCTCTCTCTCTGGCGTCTCCCTCTCTCTCTTTCTCCGGTCTCTCTCTCTCTCTCTGGCGTCTCCCTCCCTCTTTCTCTCTCTCCGGTCTCTCTCTCTGTCTGGCGTCTCCCTCTCTCTCTCTCTCCGGTCTCTGTCTCTCTCTCTCTCTCCGGTCTCTCTCTCTCTCTCTCTCTGGCGTCTCCCTCTCTCTCTTTCTCCGGTCTCTCTCTCTCTCTCTGGCGTCTCCCTCCCTCTCTCTCTGGCGTCTCCCTCTCTCTCTCTCTCCGGTCTCTGTCTCTCTCTCTCTCCGGTCTCTCTCTCTCTCTCTCTCTGGCGTCTCCCTCTCTCTCTCTCTCCGGTCTCTCTCTCTCTCTCTCTCTGGCGTCTCCCTCTCTCTCTTTCTCCGGTCTCTCTCTCTCTCTCTGGCGTCTCCCTCCCTCTCTCTCTGGCGTCTCCCTCTCTCTCTCTCTCCGGTCTCTGTCTCTCTCTCTCTCCGGTCTCTCTCTCTCTCTCTCTCTGGCGTCTCCCTCTCTCTCTCTCTCCGGTCTCTCTCTCTCTCTCTCTCTGGCGTCTCCCTCTCTCTCTTTCTCCGGTCTCTCTCTCTCTCTCTGGCGTCTCCCTCCCTCTCTCTCTCTCTCCGGTCTCTCTCTCTCTCTGGCGTCTCCCTCTCTCTCTCTCTCTCCGGCCTCTCTCTCTCTCTTATAGTCCTGCAGGTGTTGAGAGCCGTATGTGTTCAGCCTTAGGCCCTGTCCACACGAAGTCAAGCTCAGGCCTAAACGCAAAAATACTTTATCAATCCAGTGTATCGTCCATACGAGGCCGGCGTTTTGGGGGGGTGTAAACGAACATTTTTGAAACTAGGTCCCAGAGTGGAAAGATTTCAAAACTCCGTATATGCCGCTCCGTGGTTACTGCCTCTCCGCAATGTATCTGAGACGCTTGCGTCATCGCCCCGCCTCTTGTTAAAGCACGCATGCGCCGCACTCAGAAAATAATGACAACAACAATGTAGCTTGTTGGTTTTGTAATCCAGTGTGACCCGAAGCAACAGTTCAACCTCATCGTCCGTCCATACTAATGTAGTACCAGCTCGCCCACTCGCCATGTTGTCTGTTTACAAAATTCTGCGCATGCCCAGTTCCCGTCACGGAAGTTTGGGCTTGATCCCGTCATTGCGTCACAGCGCCACCAACAGGTCTGGCATAGTTTCACAGCGTTTTCAGGCGTATTGACTACATTCATATGGACGCACACATTTACTGAGCTAACTCCGTGTTTACAGAAAAAGTTTCTGAAATTATAAGCGTTTTGTCTTTGTGTGGATATAGCCTTAGTGTATTCAGGTAAATGTCACTGCTCTCACAAGATAAATGTGTCCATTCACTCAAACTGGATTTGAAAGAAGCAGAAAAACTATAAACTATTGACGCTTTGTTCTTTCACTGAACAAGTTTAACTGTGACAATAGTTAGACAGAGAGAGAAGAGAGAGGATACAGTGAGAGGGGAGAGAGAGGAGGGGAGGGAGAGAGGAGGTAGAGAGAGGAGAGGAGAGCAGGAAGAAGACTAATGCCTCTTTTCCACAGTGCTGGTTCGATACGGCACGGTTCAGCTCGCGTGCTTTTCCATCAAAAATAGTACCTCTTGTACGTCCTCAGCGTTGTCAGACCACGTCATGTACGCGCGACGCCTAACATGGATTTATTTTAATATCGGTGATGGTTATGGGGAAGCTGCTGACCCCTGCAGAACTGCCTCCTACAACCTTTTCAGGACGCTGAGTGACAGACTAACAGCGCGAGTGGTTATTGAAGAATAAAGGAATGACTCGGACACAGAACATGTGGATTCAACGGTGCTGACTGTGCTCTGTACTAAACACATAACCACGGACAGACCTGTGACAGAATGACCCATACGCCTACTGTACGCATACAGCAGACTCCCAGACCAGACAAACAGCCGACACCCAAACCTCAGCTACAATACAGTTGATTCAGAGGCTTATAAAGTTAGCTTGTTGTAGACTAATACGTGGATTTATCAAAGGTTAATGCAAACAGAGAGCAGAGGGATAACAATCAAAACATGCTCATCAGATACAGATTTAGACTGGCCACAATCCTTTACAAATGAATGAAACACAGTCCTAGGATACAATCACAGATTTATTAAAAACAAACGTAAAGTGCAAAACCATCAGTTTCAAATTAAGTGAAAAAGTAAGTAAGTCCAAGGTACGTATGTGAGAGACCAGGTCCAGACCAAGTCCAGATGAGAATGCTCCGGTCACTCATTACTCGTTGGTAATCTCCACACTTATGGAAAGGGATTCTCGTACAAATATACACACGACAACTTAAATACAAGCACAAAACAGAATGACAACATGTGAATACTGCAGATAATACGAGATAAAGCACAGTAGCACAGGGAGGACGTTAGCTTAGCTGCTATCAATAGCTAAATGAAGCTAATTGTAGCTAGCTCACCGTGTACAACAGACAATCGAGCATTTACACAGTAAATACATTTCAGTGAGAGCTTTAGGGGGTTCGTAGCCAACCAGTTATTTCCAGGATTACCACAGACTAGTCACAAATCCAGAGCTGGTGATCTCCCTGAAAACTGTGTTGAGCCTCGAGCTGCCTTTGAATTCTTTCTTTTGTCCTGAAGAGAGGAACGTGTGGACCTCTTCCACCGACTAGGACCAGGACTTTTGGGGCTTTCTGTGCGATTCCATTTCTCTGGAGTGAGGAGGACGTAATGTAGCCGAAGCAGAGCCGAGCAGAGCAGCCGGTTTTAAAGATGGCGGTTGAGTTGTTTTTCCCAAAGGGTCAGAGGTCGCTTCCAGTGACGACACTTGTTGACCAATCAGTGTGAGGCAGTGGGCCGACGTGACGTCATGGCACGGGTACTATGGGGATGGAACCACGGCTGAGGCAGTACGGAAAAGTACTTAAATCTCCCATACAATCCACTAGTGGAAACGCAAAATAACCGTGCTGAAGCGTACTGTACTGAACCGTACTGTACTGTACCGTACTAATACTGTGGAACAGCGGCATAATACACACATCTCTGTCTCTCTCTCTCGACTTTCTCTCTCTCTGGTCTCTTTCCCTCCCTCTTTGGTCTCTCTCCATCTCTCTTTGGTCTCTCTCCCTCTCTCTTTGGTCTCTCTCTCTCTTTGGTCTCTCTCTCTCTTTGGTCTCTCTCTCTCTCTTTGATTTGAATTGAATAAACAGTGCTGTCCATTGGAGCTGCCTCATGGAGCCCTGTGCTTAAACCTGCCTGTGTTGCCAGGTCCAGGTCCAGGTCCAGGTCCAGGTCCATGTCAGTCCTGTGCCCTGGAGTTCTCAGAGTCTGCAGCTTTGGCTCTGCTCTTATCACACAGAGCACAGTGGGCCGGGGGAGGGGCTGACGCCGCCCTGGGCCCTCGGGGGCCACTGGCGGGCGCTATTCACAGAACTCACTTGTACTGATAACAGGATCTGGGCTCGGGTCTATTTTAAACACAGCAGGTGGAGGTCAACAACACAGAGAAAATGCAGAACTGGCAACAAGGAGATAAAGGCAACGGTGGGATTTATCTATCGAAGAATAAATACACATGTTTCTCTCTGGTCTCTCTTTCTCTGGTCTCTCCCTCTCTGGTCTCTCCCCCTCTGGTCTCTCGCTCTCTGGTATCTCTCTCTCTATGGTCTCTCTCTCTCTATGGTCTCTCCCTCTCTGGTCTCTCCCTCTCTGGTCTCTCCCTCTCTGGTCTCTCCCCCTCTGGTCTCTCCCTCTCTGGTCTCTCCCCCTCTGGTCTCTCGCTCTCTGGTATCTCTCTCTCTATGGTCTCTCTCTCTCTATGGTCTCTCCCTCTCTGGTCTCTCCGTCTCTGGTATCTCTCTCTCTCTGGTCTCTCTCTCTCTAGTCTCTCTCTCTGGTCTCTCTCTCTCTAGTCTCCCTCTCTGGTCTCTCCCTCTCTGGTCTCTACCTCTCTGGTCTCTCTCTCTCTGGTCTCTCTCTCTCTGGTCTCTCTCTCTCTGGTCTCTCCCTCTCTGGTCTCTCGCTCTCTCTAGTCTCTCTCTCTGGTCTCTCTCTAGTCTCTCTCTCTAGTCTCTCTCTCTGGTCTCTCTCTCTGGTCTCTCTCTCTGGTTAGCATAGCTCAGTGTAGCATGTGTGGTTAGCCTCTGGGTAATGCCTCAGAGTCAGATGTTATTCCTGCAGCAGAACGTTCAGTCGCTCTGAACTATTTTCTGTGGCCGCCTCCGCTCTCTCGCCCCCACGCTCTCCCTCTCTCTCGCCCCTGCGCTCTCTCTCTGGCCCCGCGTAGACTCCAGCCTGCGCTACACCTGCAGCACGGGCTGCGAGCCCATGAATGCTCTTGACTCACTCTTGTTTCTGCAGGTTCAAAACAGATGTTGTTCTTTTGGCTGCACTCGATTCACAAAAGAACCTCATGCTATTAAAGTCTCTCTCCGGTGTCTCTCTGGTCTCTCTCTGGTCTCTCTGGTCTCTCTCTGGTCTCTCTCTGGTCTCTCTGGTCTCTCTCTGGTCTCTCTCTGGTCTCTCTGGTCTCTCTGGTCTCTCTCTGGTCTCTCTGGTCTCTCTCTGGTCTGACCCTGGTCTCTCTCTGGTCCCTCTCTGGTCTCTCTCTGGTCTCTCTCTGGTCTCTCTCTGGTCTCTCTCTGTAAGCTTTTTTTTAGTAAGCTTTTATTTATATACCGCCTTTTCACTGCACATCAGAGTCTCAAAGCGGTTTACAATTGTTGGGTGGGGGTGCCAGTACAGGAGGCACATGCCAGACCTATTGTACATATTTTTAGTGGTAGGGGAAACCGGAGCACCCGGAGGAAACCGGAGCACCCGGAGGAAACCTACGCAGACACGGGGAGAACATGCAAACTCCACTCAGAAAGGCCCTGGTCCAACCGGGATTCGAACCCAGGACCTTCTTGCTGAGAGGCGAGAGTGCTATCCACTCAGCCACCGTGCCCGCTCTCTGGTCTCTCTCTGGTCTCTCTCTGGTCTCTCTCTGGTCTCTCTCTGGTCTCTCTCTAGTCTCTCTCTGGTCTCTCTCTGGTCTCTCTCTGGTCTCTCTCTGGTCTCTCTCTGGTCTCTCCCTGGTCTCTCTCTGGTCTCTCTCTGGTCTCTCACTGGTCCCTCTCTGGTCCCTCTCTGGTCTCTCCCTGGTCTCTCTCTGGTCTCGCTCTAGTCTCTCTCTGGTCTCTCTCTGGTCTCTCCCTGGTCTCTCTCTGGTCTCTCTCTGGTCTCTCACTGGTCCCTCTCTGGTCCCTCTCTGGTCTCTCCCTGGTCTCTCTCTGGTCTCTCTGGTCTCTCTCTGGTCTCTCTCTGGTCTCTCTGGTCTCTCTCTGGTCTCTCTCTGGTCTCTCTCCGGTCTCTCTCTGGTCTCTCTCTGGTCTCTCTGGTCTCTCTCTGGTCTCTCTCTGTGGTCTCTCTCTGGTCTCTCTCTCTCTCTTGTCTGTTGTCTCTGTGTGTGTCTTGTTCATAGTCATAATAGATTATAAAGGGGACTATAGGTTATAACATTAATCTTCCAGACTCCGATGCTTTTCAAACAGATTAAAAACACAGAACATGAAACACGAACAGCAGCTTTAGCAACATCGGGCAACATCTCACAGAAAATTATTTATATCTGAGACTATAGTTGATCCGTGCTGAGAAAAGAGAAAGACCAGAGAGAGAGACCAGAGAAAGAAGAGAGACCAGAGGGACAGAGAGCTGAGCTACCAGAGAGGAGAGAGACCAGGGAAAAATAACATAGAGAGAGACCAGAGAGAGAGAGACTAGAGAGAGAGAGAGATAAGTGTTGACAAAACCAGCAGGTACTTCTGCCGTATCTGGTGCCGCAGCAGGTGTCTCTCCTGGTCTCGCAGCACTTTGACCGTTGCCTATTTTTAGCCGCTCTCTCACTATCTGGGCCTCACCACACGGGCGCCAGATAAAGGAGGACAAGTCAAGCATGAAAGCCCTCTCCGCCGCGCCCCGGGACGCCATTTACTCATGCAAAAACCACCGCAACACAAGCGATTAACTCACCACTCAGGAGGAGCCGCCGGGGGCCCGTCCGCCGGAGCCAGGGGCCGCTGTCTGCAACACACAGGAGAGGGCAACGTGAGGTCACAAATACAAGAAGAGATATGGCTTTTATCACAGGAGAGTTACGACCGTGGACTGTGGATGGACGGCCAATGCTAACAATGCTAACAATGCTAACAATAATAGCTCAATGAAGCATAGGGCAGGGAAGTTTGGCTTCCCTCTCCGGCTCCCAATGAGTAAGATGGTTAAGGTTAGGGTTAAGGTGGTCTGAGTAAGATGGTTAAGGTTAGGGTTAAGGTGGTCTGAGTAAGATGGTTAAGGTTAGGGTTAAGGTGGTCTGAGTAAGATGGTTAAGGTTAGGGTTAAGGTGGTCTGAGTTAGATGGTTAAGGTTAGGGTTAAGGTGGTCTAAGTAAGATGGTTAAGGTTAGGTTTAAGGTGGTCTGAGTAAGATGGTTAAGGTTAGAGTTAAGGTGGGTCTGAGTAAGATGGTTAAGGTTAGGGTTAAGGTGGTCTGAGTAAGATGGTTAAGGTTAGGGTTAAGGTGGTCTGAGTAAGATGGTTAAGGTTAGGTTTAAGGTGGGTCTGAGTAAGATGGTTAAGGTTAGGGTTAAGGTGGTCTGAGTAAGATGGTTAAGGTTAGGGTTAAGGTGGTCTGAGTAAGATGGTTAAGGTTAGGGTTAAGGTGGTCTGTGTAAGATGGTTAAGTTTAGGGTTAAGGTGGTCTGAGTAAGATGGTTAAGGTTAGGTTTAAGGTGGTCTGAGTAAGATGGTTAAGGTTAGGGTTAAGGTGGTCTGAGTAAGATGGTTAAGGGCAGGGTTAAGGTGGTCTGAGTAAGATGGTTAAGGTTAGGGTTAAGGTGGTCTGAGTAAGATGGTTAAGGTTAGGGTTAAGGTGGGTCTGAGTAAGATGGTTAAGGTTAGGGTTAAGGTGGTCTGAGTAAGATGGTTAAGGTTAGGGTTAAGGTGGTCTGAGTAAGATGGTTAAGGTTAGAGTTAAGGTGGTCTGAGTAAGATGGTTAAGGTTAGGGTTAAGGTGGTCTGAGTAAGATGGTTAAGGTTAGGGTTAAGGTGGTCTGAGTAAGATGGTTAAGGTTAGGTTTAAGGTGGTCTGAGTAAGATGGTTAAGGTTAGGTTTAAGGTGGTCTGAGTAAGATGGTTAAGGTTAGGGTTAAGGTGGGTCTGAGTAAGATGGTTAAGGTTAGGGTTAAGGTGGTCTGAGTAAGATGGTTAAGGTTAGGGTTAAGGTGGTCTTAGTAAGATGGTTAAGGTTAGGGTTAAGGTGGTCTGAGTAAGATGGTTAAGGTTAGAGTTAAGGTGGGTCTGAGTAAGATGGCTAAGGTTAGGGTTAAGGTGGTCTGAGTAAGATGGTTAAGGTTAGGTTTAAGGTGGGTCTGAGTAAGATGGTTAAGGTTAGGGTTAAGGTGGTCTGAGTAAGATGGTTAAGGTTAGGGTTAAGGTGGTCTGAGTAAGATGGTAAAGGTTAGAGTTAAGGTGGTCTGAGTAAGATGGTTAATGTTAGGGTTAAGGTGGTCTGAGTAAGATGGTTAAGGTTAGAGTTAAGGTGGTCTGAGTAAGATGGTTAAGGTTAGAGTTAAGGCTGGGTTGGAGTTATTTTATTGGAATGGCTGGTTAAGTTTAGGCATGAATAGGTAGTTTTTTATATTTACTTTCGCTTCCGTCCAGATTCCGTGACGTCTACTGCTGCGTATGCTCATTGGATCAAACTGAACTTCCGGACTAATCCGGGAGCGACATAGCCCATTGTTTTATGATAAAATTCTGTCGCTTATTCCTCCATATTCAGGGTTAATGAGCAGCAGGTGCGTCAGTATAAAAGTCCTCAGAAACAACTCCCATGAGAAAGGTTCCACTGTGTGACATGTGTTATTATATTTTTGGAGAATACAATGTTATTTTTGTGTTATTAATTCAATGTGTTACAGTCCCAGCCCTGATTGTAATATTGACTTTATAAATCCAAAAACGATCCACAGGGATTGACCAATGAGAGGGCTTCATTCTTGGGGTGAACTCCAGTTTGCCTCGGCAACCATGAAAGCAACACATCTGCCCCTGTTAGCGCCTCAAGCTAACACCCTCAGAACAAATGCACTTATAATGAAACAGGCTCCAGCTAGCTTATGTTCAAACTAGCTTACCTCCTGACCCGAGGCTAACACACACAGATGTTTGGATAAAACACTTTTTGTCCAATAACAACAACAGTGAGATGATTTAGTTTGTCATTTTATGTCTTGGGAAAAAACTATGTTCGATCATGAACCAGCGGAAGATCAAACCATCGAGAGAGAACAGTTGCTGTTTAAACCATCCAGTCATAGTAAAATAGCGTTTGATTGGACGGCTGAAGAATGAGGAAAAAACAGGAAGTGGCTGCGGAGAAAAAACAGAACTATCCCTGAAATCCTGTAATTTTGTACTGGGCTAAGATTATTGATTTTTTTAAACAATTTCTGGATGTCCTTTCTCTGGTCTCTCTCTGGTCTCTCTCTGGTCTCTCTCTGGTCTCTCTCTCTGGTCTCTCTCTGGTCTCTCTCTGGTATCTCTCTGGTCTCTCTCTGGTCTCTCTCTCTGGTCTCTCTCTGGTCTCTCTCTGGTATCTCTCTGGTCTCTCTCTGGTCTCTCTCTCTGGTCTCTCTCTGGTCTCTCTCTGGTCTCTCTCTGGTCTCTCTCTGGTCTCTCTCTGGTCTCTCTCTGGTCTCTCTCTGGTCTCTCTCTGGTCTCTCTCTGGTCTCTCTCTGGTCTCTCTCTCTGGTCTCTCTCTGGTCTCTCTCTGGTCTCTCTCTGGTCTCTCTCTGGTCTCTCTTTCTGGTCTCTCTCTCTGGTCTCTCTCTGGTCTCTCTCTGGTCTCTCTCTGGTCTCTCTCTGGTCTCTCTGGTCTCTCTCTGGTCTCTCTCTGGTCTCTCTCTGGTCTCTGGTCTCTCTCTCTGGTCTCTCTCTGGTCTCTCTCTGGTCTCTCTCTCTGGTCTCTCTCTGGTCTCTCTCTGGTCTCTCTCTCTGGTCTCTCTCTGGTCTCTCTCTCTGGTCTCTCTCTGGTCTCTCTCTGGTCTCTCTCTGGTCTCTCTCTGGTCTCTCTCTGGTCTCTCTCTGGTCTCTCTGGTCTCTCTCTGGTCTCTCTCTGGTCTCTCTCTGGACATTTATCAACATGTATGACATGTGTCTCTTCCTATGGATCAATACTTACAGTATGTGTATATTTTGTGTCTGAAAAACAATCCTACAACAGTAACACACCATGCAGCAGGTGAGAGTCCCCTCTCTGTGACTCTCTCTCTCTGTGACTCTCTCTCTGTGACTCTCTCTCTCTGTGACTCTCTCTCTGTGACTCTCTCTCTCTGTGACTCTCTCTCTCTGTGACTCTCTCTCTGTGACTCTCTCTCTCTGTGACTCTCTCTCTGTGACTCTCTCTCTCTGTGACTCTCTCTCTCTGTGACTATCTCTCTGTGACTCTCTCTCTGTGACTCTCTCTCTCTGTGACTCTCTCTCTCTGTGACTCTCTCTCTCTGTGACTCTCTCTCTGTGACTCTCTCTCTGTGACTCTCGCTCTGTGACTCTCTCTCTCTGTGACTCTCTCTCTCTGTGACTCTCTCTCTGTGACTCTCTCTCTGTGACTCTCTCTCTCTGTGACTCTCTCTCTGTGACTCTCTCTCTCTGTGACTCTCTCTCTCTCTGACTCTCTCTCTGTGACTCTCTCTCTGTGACTCTCTCTCTGTGACTCTCTCTCTGTGACTCTCTCTCTCTGTGACTCTCTTTCTCTCTGACTCTCTCTCTCTGTGACTCTCTCTCTCTGTGACTCTCTCTCTGTGACTCTCTCTCTGTGACTCTCTCTCTCTCTGACTCTCTCTCTGTGACTCTCTCTCTCTGTGACTCTCTCTCTGTGACTCTCTCTCTCTGTGACTGTGACTCTCTCTCTGTGACTCTCTCTCTCTGTGACTCTCTCTCTGTGACTCTCTCTCTGTGACTCTCTCTCTCTGTGACTCTCTCTCTCTGTGACTCTCTCTCTGTGACTCTCTCTCTGTGACTCTCTCTCTCTGTGACTCTCACTCTGTGACTCTCTCTCTGTGACTCTCTCTCTGTGACTCTCTCTCTCTGTGACTGTGACTCTCTCTCTGTGACTCTCTCTTTGTGACTCTCTCTCTGTGACTCTCTCTCTGTGACTCTCTCTCTGTGACTCTCTCTCTCTCTGACTCTCTCTCTGTGACTCTCTCTCTCTGTGACTCTCTTTCTGTGACTCTCTCTCTCTGTGACTCTCTCTGTGACTCTCTCTCTCTCTGACTCTCTCTCTGTGACTCTGTGACTCTCTCTCTCTGTGACTCTCACTCTGTGACTCTCTCTCTCTGTGACTGTGACTCTCTCTCTGTGACTCTCTCTTTGTGACTCTCTCTCTCTGTGACTCTCTCTCTGTGACTCTCTCTCTCTCTGACTCTCTCTCTGTGACTCTCTCTCTCTGTGACTCTCTCTCTGTGACTCTCTCTCTCTGTGACTGTGACTCTCTCTCTCTGTGACTCTCTCTCTCTGTGACTCTCTCTCTGTGACTCTCTCTCTCTGTGACTCTCTCTCTGTGACTCTCTCTCTCTGTGACTCTCTCTCTCTGTGACTCTCTCTGTGACTCTCTCTCTCTGTGACTCTCTCTCTGTGACTCTCTCTCTCTGTGACTCTCACTCTGTGACTCTCTCTCTGTGACTCTCTCTCTGTGACTCTCTCTCTCTCTGACTCTCTCTCTGTGACTGTGACTCTCTCTCTCTGTGACTGTGACTCTCTCTCTGTGACTCTCTCTTTGTGACTCTCTCTCTCTGTGACTCTCTCTCTCTCTGACTCTCTCTCTGTGACTCTCTCTCTGTGACTCTCTCTCTCTGTGACTCTCTCTGTGACTCTCTCTCTCTGTGACTCTCTCTCTGTGACTCTCTCTCTCTGTGACTCTCTCTCTGTGACTCTCTCTCTCTGTGACTCTCACTCTGTGACTCTCTCTCTGTGACTCTCTCTCTGTGACTCTCTCTCTCTGTGACTCTCTCTCTGTGACTCTCTCTCTCTGTGACTGTGACTCTCTCTCTGTGACTCGCTCTCTGTGACTCTCTCTCTCTGTGACTCTCTCTCTGTGACTCTCTCTCTGTGACTCTCTCTCTCTCTGACTCTCTCTCTGTGACTCTCTCTCTGTGACTCTCTCTCTGTGACTCTCTCTCTGTGACTCTCTCTCTCTGTGACTCTCTCTCTGTGACTCTCTTTCTCTCTGACTCTCTCTCTGTGACTCTCTCTCTGTGACTCTCTCTCTGTGACTCTCTCTGTGACTCTCTCTGTGACTCTCTGTCTCTCTCTGTGACCTCTCTGTGACTCTCTCTCTCTGTGACTCTCTCTGTGTCTCTCTGTGACTCTCTCTGACTCTCACTCTGTGACTCTCTCTCCTGTGACTCTCTCTCTGTGACTCTCTCTCTCTGTGACTCTCTCTCTGTGACTCTCTCTCTCTGTGACTGTGACTCTCTCTCTGTGACTCTCTCTCTGTGACTCTCTCTCTCTGTGACTCTCTCTCTGTGACTCTCTCTCTCTGTGACTGTGACTCTCTCTCTGTGACTCTCTCTCTCTGTGACTGTGACTCTGTGACTATCTCTCTCTGACTCTCTCTCTGTGACTCTCTCTCTCTTTGACTCTCTCTGTGACTCTCTCTCTCTGTGACTCTCTCTCTCTGTGACTCTCTCAGTGACTCTCTCTCTCTCTGACTCTCTCTCTCTGTGACTCTCTCTGTGACTCTCTGTGACTCTCTCTCTCTGTGACTCTCTCTGTGACTCTCTCTGTGACTCTCTCTGTGACTCTCTGTGACTGACTCTCTCTCTCTGTGACTCTCTCTCTGTCTCTCTCTCTCTCTGTGACTCTCTCTCTGTGACTCTCTCTCTCTCTGACTCTCACTCTGTGACTCTCTCTCTGTGACTCTCTCTCTGTGACTCTCTCTCTCTGTGACTCTCTCTCTGTGACTCTCTCTCTCTGTGACTGTGACTCTCTCTCTGTGACTCTCTCTCTGTGACTCTCTCTCTCTGTGACTCTCTCTCTGTGACTCTCTCTCTCTGTGACTGTGACTCTCTCTCTGTGACTCTCTCTCTCTGTGACTGTGACTCTGTGACTATCTCTCTCTGACTCTCTCTCTGTGACTCTCTCTCTCTTTGACTCTCTCTGTGACTCTCTCTCTCTGTGACTCTCTCTCTCTGTGACTCTCTCAGTGACTCTCTCTCTCTGTGACTCTCTCTGTGACTCTCTCTCTGTTACTAATGAACACGTGCAAAGGCCAAGGACAGAAGCTAAAATTAGATCAAACATGAGCTCTGAGGCACACACTCATCTACACCTCCCTCACACGGCTGCTCCCTCACTGGTCCCTCACTGGTCCCTTTCTGGTCTCTCTGGTCCCACTCTGCTCTCTCTGGTCTGTCTCTCCTGTCTCTCTCTCTGGTGCCTCTATGGTCTCTCTCTGGTCTCTCTCTGGTCTCTCTCTGCTCTCACTCTGCTCTCTCTTTGCTCTCTCTCTGGTCTCTCTTTGGTGCCTCTCTGGTCTCTCTCTCTGGTCTCTCTCTGGTCTCTCTGGTCTCTCTCTCTGGTCTCTCTCTGGTCTCTCTGGTCTCTCTCTCTGGTCTCTCTCTGGTCTCTCTTTGGTGCCTCTCTGGTCTCTCTCTGTAAACTAGAGATAGAAGAAAAGTGTTGTGAGAACGAGGAACTAGTTTCTCAGTCCTCTCGGCCAATCAGCCGGCAGCCCAAAGCATCCAATAATGACCCACACCCTGCGGTCCACACCCTGTGGTCCACGCCCTGCGGTCCATGCCCTGTGGTCCACACCCTGTGGTCCGCGCCCTGTGGTCCGCGCCTTGTGGTCCACGCCCTGTGGTCCGCGCCTTGTGGTCCACGCCCTGCGGTCCACACCCTGTGGTCCGCGCCTTGTGGTCCACGCCCTGCGGTCCACACCCTGTGGTCCACGCCCTGTGGTCCACGCCCTGCGGTCCACGCCCTGCGGTCCACGCCCTGTGGTCCACGCCCTGTGGTCCACGCCCTGCGGTCCACGCCCTGTGGTCCACGCCCTGCGGTCCACGCCCTGCGGTCCACACCCTGCGGTCCACGCCCTCTCACAGTGGAAGTGAGAGAGAAGTCGACTGAGACTGAGGCTGAAGTAGGTCACACCGCAGAAGGGAGGGAGGGAGGGGAGAGGGGGGGGGAGAGGGGGGAGAGGGGGGAGAGGGGGGAGAGGGGGGAGAGGGGCGTACTCCATTACCTCTGCCAGGAGAGGGTCCCACAAAGACCTGGACCTGGTCCCTGTGTGATGCTGTGATAGCACTCTGCTGATGTGAGGTTTATAATGAGAAGTGAGTTCCACACACACACACACACAGACACACACACACACACACACACACACACACACACACACACACACACACACACACAGACACACACACACACACACACACACACACACAGACACACACACACAGACAGACACACACACACACACACACACACACACACACACACAGACACACACACACAGACAGACACACACACACACACAGACAGACACACACACACAGACAGACACACACAGACAGACAGACACACACACACACACACAAACACACACACAGACACACACACACAGACAGACACACACACACACACAGACAGACACACACACACAGACAGACACACACACACACACAGACAGACACACACACACACAGACAGACACACACACACAGACAGACACACACACACACACACACACAGACACACACACACACACAGACAGACACACACACACACACACAGACAGACACACACACACAGACAGACACACACAGACAGACAGACACACACACACACACACAAACACACACACAGACACACACAGACAGACACACTCACGCACACACTTCTCTCTGTGACCCAGTTGGTTGAGTCTTCTGTGGACTGGTCTGAGCCCTAGTTCTGGGTCTGGGACCTGGTTGGATCCTCCTCAGGCCTGAGCCACACTCGGACTATCTCCGCTGCTCCACATGTGTCTGAGCCACACTCGGACTATCGCCGCTGCTCCACATGTGTCTGAGCCACAGAATCAGAGCAACAACTGTTTGTCTCTACAGAGTTAGGAATCTGTGCTGTCCACCTCCATCTTACTCCACTTATTGAGTTTTTTGCAGGTCTCTTTCTCTCCCTTTCTCTCATTGGTCTCTCTCTCTCTTCCGCTGGTCTCTCTCTCTCATTGGTCTCTATCCCTGGTCTCTCTCTCTCTCTCTTTCAATGGTCTTTCTCTCTCTTTTGCTGGTCTCTCTCTCTCTCTCTTTCTCTCTCTCTCATTGGTCTCTCTCTCTTTCACTGGTCTCTCTCTCTCTCTTTCACTGGTCTCTACCTCTCTCTTTTGCTGGTCTCTGTCTCTCTTTTGCTGGTTTTTCTCTCTCTAGTCTCTCTCTCTCTCTCTCTCTCACTGGTCTCTCTCTCTTTCGCTGGTCTCTCTCTCTTTCTCTCTGTTCTCTAGATTTTGAGAAGTTTACTTTTACAAGTCATTTTGATTGATTTAACCTTTATTTAACCAGGAGAACCTGAGTGAGATTAATAATCTTTATATATATATATATATATATATATATATATATATATATAGGAGAACCTGAGTGAGATTAATAATCTCTTTTTAGAGAGTGTCCTGGACACGAGGCACACGTAAAGAATACACGCTAAAATAAAACAAAGAGACGGAGATAACACATGAAAGCATTCACATAAATGAAACCAATAAAACACCAAAAAAGAAACATTTCATATAAAACAGGTAAATCTGAAAGGTAAAGTTCATCTGAAACTTTGAGCCGTCCCTTAAACAAGTGAAGTCATTCCTTCAGTTCACGTTTGGTTTGCAGC